TGTTCTTGCTTAAACGCGCTTCAAGTTTAAGCGCTGTTTCTTTTTGCGCGCGTGTTGTTTCCCGTTCTGTTTCGCCGCGATTCCAAGGTTGCGTCTCGCTGTTCGGTTTGCCTGTTCCGTCAAGTCCGCGGTTCGTTTCGTTGTGCGTTTCGTTCCGCACTCGAGACAGGTGCACTTCTCGGGCCCCAGCGGCCCCCTCTTGAGCCCTTCAGTAGGGCCCCTTTGGGGGCCCTACATCACCACCCACCAGGCCACCCCACTCCAACCTGGGGGCCTCGATTCGCCCTCCATTTCCAGTGGGGGGGGGGGTCGAGGAACATGGAAACAACACGCATGGAACCCGTACCCCCCTCCAACCCGAAATTCGGGCGAAATTCGGGCCTTCGGGTTGGGTTGGGGTGGCTTGGTAGGTGGTCACTAGTAGGGCCCCTTGGGGCCCCCAAAAGACAGGCCCCGTCTCTGCTGCCCTCGCTGCCCCTCCACTCGTCGCCCCCCCACCGCGCGACCACCCCACCTGCGGCCCTCCATGCTGCGCTACGGCCCATCGGGGTCCGTGGCGTATACAATGCAACGACCCACGCCAGGTGTCCTGGTATACAGTCAACCCGCATAGTAAGGATGGGCAACCTTCCCAAGGGTACCCTTGCATCCTCGCCTCCTCGGACCATCCTTGGCCACTTTCGTTGGCCGCGCCCCGCTCGAAAAGCTTCGAAACGGGCATCCAAGGCCCTTGCATCCTTACCCCGCATCCTTACTAAACGGGTTGACTGCACGCTGCGGCCCGTAAGGCCGTAGGTGTGGTGGTGTCGTTTGTTTTTTGGTCCATCGTTCTCGCAGTCGAAGCCGACGGCCGAAGATCGAAAGAAAAATAACGGCACAGACACAAAACTCGTGGCGGCCTTTTCGGATTTCTCGGATCTTCGATGACACCCCCCTTTCCCCAAAAAGAAGCGAACAAGAGCGACGAGTTTGGCAGCGGCATCGGTGCGGTCGAGACCGGGGGTCGCAGGAGGAGGAGGAGGAGGAGGAAGAGGAGGAGGAGGAGGAGGAGGAGGGAGAAAGGGATTTTTTTATATATATATATATATATATATATATGTATATGTGTATATATATATATATAGAGCTAGCGATCTCGATGATCAGCGACAAGGGGAAAAAGGGGCCAACCTAGGAGGCAGCCCACGCCTCCTACTTCGATGGGGGGCGACAGGAGGGCACAAACAGAGACTCGTGGCGGTCCTCGCGGATTTCTTGGATCTGTAAAGGGGCCCCCCGGCGGCGCTCCTCGGGCGCCGCTCCTCGGCGCGATTTCCGCTCGCCGGGTGGCAGGTCTGGGCAACCGGTCCCTAGCTATGCGCAGGCGGGGATACACAGTTCGGGGGTGGACAGAACCCCCAACAGTGACACGTCGATTAGTGAATTGTCCGTTTTCGGTTCTCGAGAGGGCGCCGCGGCCGTCATTTTCCAGGCTTGCGCCCGCCAGGTTTGGGCCAGAGGTCGTTTTCACTAAACCACGTTTTACCAAAGGGGGTTCTGTCCACCCCCGAACAGTCATAGAAGCTGATTGTTTAACTCAAAATGCCAGTTTTTGGAATAAAACACCAGTTTTTGCATTTAAAGAACGGTTCTTGAATTCGAAAAAAGAGGTTTCTGAATTCAACCAGTTTTTGAATTCAAAGCTGGTTTCTTGTATTCAAAAACAAGTTTTTTTGAATTCAAGACCAGTTTTTGGAATTCAAAAACCAGGTTCATGGATCGCAGAATGCTCTCGACCAGCCACGCTAGATCGAGCTACTATTCCAGCTCTTCCACGCAGGAGTGATCTGGGCAGTGCAGTTTGGTACGCCGTGCGGCGCGTGTTCTAGAGCTCGTGACCGTGGGAAAGGGCCAGGAGCCTTCAGAAGCTCAGACTTTCAGCTTGGTTTTGATACAGTTTGTTCTCATGCAGACAGAGACAAGGTTCGGACAGGTAACCTCTTGGCAGATATCTCAGCCACAGTGTTTGGACGATGTCTCCTCCTCCGTGTCCCATGCTCGTTGGAGAACCCGCATACTTCGATTCTGTGGTACCATCCGAAATATGTTCGACTGCCTGCCCACAAAGCTGTGCAGACTGATTTTGCAGACTTTCGCACGGACGGTAAATCATGGCGGCAGAGAACACGCTTGATGGCCGCTCGTATTGACCTCAGCCGGGTAGTAATACATGAACATCATGTAATGGAATATGCCGTCGCACGCACGGACCATATCAAGCCCTGGAGTGCAAAGACGAGGAGGGGGTTTTCTGGACCAGATCGCGGAACCATATCCCTGGAGGTTGTGTTCCCGGATGTCGGTTGCCGTGGGCTCCAGTAGCGCCTCCATGTTTTACGAGAGCATGTGAAAGTTGTTGGCGTGACCCGCGCCCCCAACCCAGAGTGCAAGATTGCGTGATGGTCTCGAACACTGCCAGCTCGCTTGTTCTGCTCGGCCTCTCGAGGGGCTCCGCTGCCCCGGGGCCCGACCAGGTGCAAATATTTCTGATCGGGGCGATCGTGGAGGAACGTCTCGAGGTGAAGGCGTTCTCCCGAGGCGGGCGCCACTCGGCGGTATCCCGAGGGGGTCGGGGGAGCGCCAAGCACCTCTACAGAGGACGAACAAGCGGTGCCTGCACGTGCCGCTTCTCCTGCCTGTCGAATGTCGCGACGCCCTCCTCTCCGCACAGCCGCGTGGCCCGCCCGCCACGCCCGCTTTTGGTGAAGCAGCCCCCCGACGTTCGGAGGCTGGGGCGTGCACACTGCCAGCGGCGGGAAACTGGACATTTCACTCCCACGGCTTTTTGAGGGTCGGGGACGACGTCGGGGTGGTGTGGTGTATACTTCTCCTCCGTCTTCCGAGGGAAACAACGAAAAATGTATACACCAGGATCCCGTATCCCTAAATGTTGTCGGCTCGCACTTTCTGTTCGGCCTCTTGAGGGATTCCGCTGTCCCAGAGCCCGACCAGGTGCGAAATTGCTTGAGGAGAGCGATCGTGGAAAGACGGCTCGAGGTGAAGCGGCTCTCCCGAGGCGGACGCCACTCCGATGATGAGGTTGGGGGTTAACGCGGCTGACGCCGATGGTGATGGTGATGATGATGATGATGATGATGATGATGATGATGATGGTGATTGCGACGGTGATGGTGACGGTGACGGTGGTGGTGGTGGCGGCGGTCAAAGCGGTGATGATGGCGGTTGTGGTGGTGGTGATGATGATGATGATGCTCATGATGATGGTGATGATGGTGATGGCGGCGGTGATGGTGATGGTGGTGGTGGTGGTTGTGGTGGTGATGATGATAATGGTGGTCGTGATGATCATGATGGTGGTGATGATGATGCTTCTGATGATGAGGATGATGATGTCATCGATGTTGATGATGCTGATGATGATGCTGGTGACGGTGATGGTGATGATGATGATGCTGTTGATGCTGATGATGATGATGACGATGATGATGATGATGATGATGATGATGATGACGATGATGTCGCTGATGTTGATGATGCTGCCGATGGTGATGCTGGTGACGGTGACGGCGATGATGATGATGATGATGTTGATGTTGATGCTGATGCTGACGTTGCTGTTGATGATGGCGACGATGATGATGATGGTGATGGTGATGGTGATGATGGTGATGGTGATGGTGATGGTAATGATGATGAGGAGGAGGAGGAATATGATGCTGATGATGATAATGATAACCATGATGGTAACCATCATGATAACGACGACGTTGAGGCCTGATTGTGGCGATAATGATGATGATGATGACGATGATGATGCTGATGATGATGATGATGATGATGATGACGATGACGATGACGATGATGCTGATGCTGATGATGATGACGACCATGATGCTGATGATGCTGATGATGATGATGATGATGATGATGATGGTAGGGGTGGTGGTGGTGGTGGTGGTGTGGTGGTGGTGGTGGCGGTGATGGTGATGGTTGGGGAGGTGCGTCGCCAGCGATCTATGTGTCACGCGAACCTGCTCCTTAGCTAGGTGCGACAACTATTTTCGTGTAGTCGTATACCACCAGTGTTATCCACACGTACATGTTCCACAGCCTGGACACAACCGCATAGTGCGATTACATACGTCACATATTGACAATACGGCCATATTTGGCTCAGACCATCATTCAGTAAACACACTAAACAGCACTGCCGATGTGACGATGGTGATGGTGATGAATAAATTTGCGATGCTCTGATGATGATGATGGTGATGATTATGATGATGATGATGATGATGATGATGATGATGATGATGATGATGATGATGATGATGATGATGATGATGATGATGATGATGATAAGGCTGATGATGATGATGATGATGATGATGATGATGATGATGACGATGCTGATGGTGATCATGCTGGTGATGGTGATGGTGATGGTGATGTGACGATGGCGACGGTGATGATGATGATGATGATGATGATGATGATGATGATGATGATGATGATAGTGATAGTGATAGTGATAGTGATAGTGATAGTGATAGTGATAGTGATGGTGATGATTATGTCAAGCGGAACCATGGGCCCATGGCCCATTCGCTCTCTCTTCGAGTCTCGGCAGCGCCCCAGCCCCAAGCACACCCATGCTGGGGCTAAGAGGGGAGGAGGGGCAACGGAAAACAAGAGGGCCAAGAGCATGAGAAGGAAGATGATGAGACGAGCACGCTACCGAGGGCAACACACCTGCAACTCAGCGAATCGACTGCTCTATGCAGTCATCGCTGGAGCCTCCCCGTTGGGTTCTCTTTTCAACTCGTGGAGGCGCAGCCTCTCTCTCGTAGCTTCCCTGTTCCTGTCACGTTTCCTTCACTACCTTCCCACCGCCCGTGCCTGAGAGATGGCCTGCCTTCTCCAGCAGGTGTTCGGCCGCGGCCGAGCGATCCCTAGAACGCATCCGCCGAAAACCGCAAGACCCGCAAAGCTGCAAACACTCAAAGCTTCAAATGCTCAGGGCACGCTGGGCACGCCGTGCGCGTGAGGGCGCCTCTCGCTGCATGGCTGGCCACTTTGTTGTTAGCGGCCGTCTCCTTGGCCCGCTTCTCGTCGATGCTCTTCTGGGCATCCTTGCAGGTCTCCTTCGAGAGCATGCCTGGGACACCGCCCCTGGTGAGCTGCACGGTGCCGACGGCGTTCGAAGTCCAAGCAGCGGCCTCGAGGTACGGCATTTCCACCGGGATAGGGTCGGGCAAGACTTTGAAGAAGAGCGCCGTCTCACTCCTCTTGATATCGGACAGGGAGATATCGAACTTGGCGACCTTGACGTTCATAGAGGGCTCGTCAGCAGGCGCCTTAGTAGGCCCCACAGGCTTGCTCACGCGCGGCTTCTTAGCAGGGGGAGCCTGGGCCTTCGGCTGCTCAGCAGATGCTCCAGCAGCGGCGGGCTGTAGCTGCCCACCTGGCGCGATGTCCACGGCAACGGCTCCTGCAACAGGCGACAAACTTTGAAGTGCACCGGCTGCGCCAGCTGCCCTGTCCGCTGCAATCGCCTTTGCCGATGCCTTCTTGGCAGCGGCCTTCACGCTCCTATGGGCCTTCACCCCCCAAGCTGCCAAGAACCAGGGGCTCGTGGTCCCATCCTTGCAGGCCGCGTAGATGGACGCATTGAAGACCTCGGCAATCTTGATCGCACCCTCGCTGGGCACTAAGGAGAGCGACCCGAAGTAGTTGAACAGCATCCCGCGCGGCACGGGCGCGTCGACGCACAGGATCCCATCCTTCTCGTACACCTTGGAGTAGCCGCTGTCCGAGTGTGGGCCAGTCCCAACACTGCATCGCCTCGTAAGCGCCAACTCCATGATCGGCACCACGATGCGAAACTGACTTGGAGATCCTTTCGTACCAAGGATCCTGACGATGCAATTGTCGCTCATGTGCCTGACGGCACTTCTACACGTTACCTCCTCCCCCATCTGTTTCTTCCAATCGTCCGCATCTTCCAAGACAGCGAGGAAGACGAGGATGATTGGACGAGGAGGGGTCGAAGGGCGTAACATGCAGAAGTGCCTCTTTGCCGCCACGCTCGGCGTCGTAGTGACTCCAGTAGTACTTGGAGTGCCCGCGGTCTCCTTCTTGATATTCGCCGTTGCGGCGCTGTCCAGCTCTTGGGAGATCGTCGAGACGCAGTCCTTGCAGGCATTCACAGCCTCGTACTTCATGAAGGCCTGCCACGCCTTCTTGTAGAGGTCGGCCGTGCGGATGCGCCTCAGCAGAGCAACGAAGCTGTTGGTAACCTCAGAAGTCATGTCGTCGATGACCTTATTCATGATGAAGGGGGTTTCTGGCATCCGGCGTTTGACCGCTAACAAGGCAATGTGGTAATGCATCCGTGTCAGTCGCATGGCCCCGTCTTTGTTCGTGAAGATTGCGTCAATCGTGTCTTGGATAACCTCCTTCATCTTGACGCCAGCCTCATAGACGAACTCGATGCATAGATTCGCGAAGTTCTCCCACTCTGGCTCGACGATGGCTGGGGCATCCGCGAACAGAACCTCGAAGACCGAGTCAACCCCCCCGCTGTCGCGAACGGCGATGGCCCGATCCATCAGCTCCTGGCAGCGCTCGCAGGTGCACTCTACTCCTCCTCCCTCCCCCTCCCTCCTCCCTCCTCCTCCTCCTCCTCCTCCCTCCTCCTCCCTCCTCCCTCCTCCTCCTCCTCCTCCTCCTCCTTCTCCTCCTCCTCCTCCGCCTCCCTCGTCCTCCCTCCTCCTCCTCCCCCTCCTCCTCCTCCTCCTCCTCCTCCTCCTCCTCCTCCTTGAGGCACCCGGCCTACGGCCTACGGTTTGCTCGGCGTCCTTGAGTTGGGGAAGAACCTCGTAGCCCCAGTCCGTCGTGAGGTTGCATTGCTTCGCGAAGCTCGTCAAGCGCAGGACCAGCGACTCGTCGTGGTACATCATCCTGAACTTCTGAAGCCTCCTCTGGGCGTGAACCGCATCCGTCGCGTCGACGGGTGCACTGGCTGTGCCCTCCGACCCTCTCTCCAAATCGCTTGCCGCTGCCGTTGCCGACCGACCGTTGGTGATGTTGGTGGCATCGTCCCCTCTGAGAAACTCTTCCACGAACTTGGCGACGTCGTTGTCGTTGCCGCCTGACGACGGCACCCCAGGCACCCCAGCCAAATACCCTGCACTGAACAACTGAGGACTCTGGTTGACGACGAAGTTGACGATCTCCTTGCGGACGGGGCCCCACCAGACCCTCTTGCCATCCATGTTCGGCACGCGCTCGGTCCAGCATAGATGGAGAGCCATCCGTGCAGCAACGATCCCAGCTCGATCAGTGCATGAACATTATCCTTGCACACTGTTGGCAGCCTGCAAGCAGGCGAAAGGATTGACGATGGCCGTCTTCAGGGTGTCGACCCAGATAGTGCTCTTAATGGTGGCCGCGTCCGCGGCATGCTCCTTGAATGCAGTTAGAGCTGCAGCGCCATCGTCCCGCTTGTTTTTCTTGGTATTGTTCTCGGACCCCTTGTTGCCGCTCGGTTTCGCATCAGTCGAGGGGGCCACTCCTTTAACCTTAGCGCCCAGCATGCCCATCATCTTCTCCATGGTGTCCACGGTCATCTTGGAAGTGAAGAGTAGCGGAAACTTTGGGACGCCATTGAAGTAGCAGTCCTGGTTCAAAGGGGCTTCGTCGTCCACTGGCAAGCAGGCCTCGAGGCCGACGTAGAAACTATACTCCCAGACCATGCCCTCGTCCTCGCTCGCGAAATAGCCGAGCAAGTTCGACATCTCCTTGGACCACACGGCCACCGAGCTCAAGCACCTTCCCATTGTTTTCTCGATCTCCTCTGCATCCGTGTTCTCTTCGACCCACGACGCGAACTTGTGCACCTGGAACGCGTTCACCTCGAGTGGGTCCGACGCCGAGGGCGCTGCACCAGGTATCTTGGACTTGGTCAGGTTCGTGTAAATCTGCTTGGCATTATTGAACAGCTGGAACTCCGAGTACGTGTCCTGTAGGGCAGCAGCGAATTACATCTAAAGAGACACGGAAGAGAGAGGGGGCGGCCCTCGATGTTGGTTCGGGGACAAATTCGGGATAAAATGATTTACCAACTATGCCTGCGAATATTGCGCCTTCGTGCCGCTCGCTGATGAAGATCGCGAGCAACTTGTGGTACGTGTACTCGCCCTTCGAGGGCAATGTACTTGGATCGATCTGCCGATTTGCCAAATCAGCTCTAAAATTTGCCAACATTCCAGGGGCTGCGAGCACCCTCTCTGGCAACGTGTCCTGCACGCCCTTGTTGTTCCTGTTGCTTTGCTTCGCGATCTCCTCCACGGCGTCCCTCGGCATCCCCCTCGGCCTCATCATGACTTTGTGCCCCAACTCCTTGGCCCGAAGCACGTTCGGGCCGGTCGGGGCAAGCTCCCACGCACGATATAACGCCATGTCCAATTGCTTACCTCCGAGGAGGAGGGTCTCGCTGGAGTCCCCGTCTGATTCATACCCCTGCGGGGTGCCTCTGCCCTCGGGGTCGTACCCCTCGGAGATGGCCCTCTTCATCTATTTTTTCTGGGCGGACTTGAGGCTCCGAGGGTTGAGTGGGCTGCCCTTGATTGCTGGGGATCCATTTGGCAGGAACCACGGTCGCTGTTCGACCTTTTTGGCGTAGCACTTGTCGATTTGCTCCCGAATTTCACTTTTCGTTTGCAGCTCTGGCCATCGAAGACACACGTTGGCCCTTGAGCCATAAAGTTGGTCGGAGTTCGAAGTCTTCGCCGCGGGGCTACCGCCCGCGGGCCCAGCGACGCTGGGGTCGCCCATGATGCTGCCACGTACAATACTCGGCGAGGACCCTGCGATAAAGAAACTCTGGGCAACCAAAAGGAGAGGGGAAGCCAGTCGCCCGACGCGCGAGCCCAAATGGCTACACCTTAGGCGATGCTTAAGAAAACTTAAGTTTTCGGCCAGAGTCTCGATTATTCTTAACGTTTCAATTTAAATCCTAAGTTTGTAATAGAAATGTTGGGTTTTTATTCAAGATCTGAGACTATGAATTTCTTAACCCATGATTTCTTAAGCATTTCGCAGGGTGTACCGACGGAGGGCGGAGGAGGAAGGGGAGAAAAGAGGATTCAGACGGAGGGGCCCGAGAGGGCCGCAGGAGGGCCCCGAGTGGGCCCTGGAGCACGAGTGTGGTTGTATTTTTTGCACCAGCGCTAGCTCGCCCCCCCCCCAGATCATCACTTCTCTCTCCTTTCGGTGCTCTCTTAGGTCATGTTGTTGCGTCGGCGCCTGCCCCCCCCCCCCCCCCACCCCTCCCCCCCTTCCCCCCCTCCCCTCCCGAGATTCATTTATCTTCGGAGGTCCGCGCTGATTTCTTGGATCGGCGGCCATCAGGTTTCAGGCGGGCGAGCACTGCCCACCCACGCGAGCGGGCTCCAAAGAGGGCCCCGGGAGAGCCCTGGAGGGCCCCAAGGGGGCCCCGAAGAAGTACCCGAGGGGGGGCAAGCGGGCACCGATCCCCCCCTCAAACAAAAACAACACAAACATTACTTCACAATTAATGTTTGGAAGTTCCCCCTCCCCCCACCCCCCTCTGCAGCCTTTCGAGCGCAGCTCGGGGGGGGGGGGGGGGGGCGGAGGGGGGGAGAGGGGGAGGGGCCCCAGAGGTGGGGAGGGCGGGGGCGGGTTGGGGGGGGGGGGGGGGTACTTAGCGCAGCGGGCCCAGAGGTGGGAGGAGGGGGGGTAAGGGGGTGGTGTGTGTGTGTGTGTGTGTGTGTGTGTGTGTGCGTGTGTGTGTGTTGTGTGTGTGTGTGTGTGCGTGTGTGCGTGTGTGGTGTGCGTGTGTGCGTGTGTGCGTGTGTGTGCGTGTGTGCGTGTGTGCGTGTGTGCGTGTGTGCGTGTGTGCGTGTGTGCGTGTGTGCGTGTGTGCGTGTGTGCGTGTGTGCGTGTGTGCGTGTGTGCGTGTGTGCGTGTGTGCGTGTGTGTGTGTGCGTGTGTGCGTGGCGTGTGCGTGTGTGCGTGTGTGTGTGTGCGTGTGTGTGTGCGTGTGTGCGTGTGTGCGTGTGTGCGTGTGTGCGTGTGTGCGTGTGTGCGTGTGTGCGTGTGTGCGTGTGTGCGTGTGTGCGTGTGTGCGTGTGTGCGTGTGTGTGTGTGTGTGTGTGTGGTGTGAGTGTGGTGTGAGTGTGGTGTGTGTGGTGTGTGTGTGTGTGTGCGTGTGTGCATGTGTGCGTGTGGGGGGGGGGCTTAGCGCAGCCCGCCACGGCTCAAATCGGTTCGCAGTCGGTCGAAATCGCCATTGGAACTTCAATTGACGCGAAGCCGAACTGAATAAAAACGACCGCTCGCGCATCGGAAAACCGATGGAAAACGAACCAAACATTTTAAGTTTGGAGGTCGCGTCCACCCAGATCTTCAAAATTAATAAATTCCGATTTAAATCGTATCAAAATCTTTCAAACTTATTCATTTCCAGCATAACTCTCGTCAAACTCACCCGAACTTAATAATTTTGAAGTTTTTTTCCGGACACGCCCGTGAAAAAAAAAACTTAGCAAGCACAAGCCGTGTCGGGTGAGTTTCGTCGTGCGTTTCGTTTCGGCTGCGTTGCCGATGCGATGCGTGGTCGTGTCAGAACTGCGCGGCCACAGCGGCGGAACCGACAGAAACCTGACAGCGCTGTGAGAGGCGCTGGCTAGCGTCGACACTACATCAGAGCGTGAATTACCTACCCCGCTTTCGCTTCCAGGCAAAACCAAGTCATACCACGCGCCTCCTCGTCAAGCGGCCTGATCAGTACAGGCCGTAGTTTGGCATCGCTTGGTATCGCTTGGGAGCGAGGGTGGTCAAAAGCGAGGTAGGTTTGTTTGCCCCCTACTACAGTCGTTTCGGCCAGGCCCCGACGAGTCGGTGCACCTACCCGCCGAGGGGCCGTCCAGAGAGCGAGGGTGGCAGGACCCTGGCAGGGCCACCCCACCTGGGAGGCCTCTTGGGCCCTCCCCCCTTGAAACATTGCTCGTTTCGTTTGAGTCTGCCTCCAAAAACTCTTGGTTTCGCTTGA